AAAGGAAAAGGAGGAGGAGGAGGAAAAGGAGGAGAAGGAGGAGGAGGAGGAGGGAGGGAACCAAGCTCGCAGGCTCGGCGGTGGAAGGCGTAAGTGACCCATCATCCACACGGTGTACCTCTCCTGGCCTGGCCAGGGGTCCCGTTGCGTGTTATAACATTTGTGAGAATCATGCACGGCGCCGAGGAGTGGGGGTCTAGTGTCTTGGGTCAGTTTGTGCGTTCGTGCTTTTCAGACCCCCACTCCTCTGTGCCTCAGGCCTAGGTCCTGACAGGAGTTTAGCCGTGCCCCCTCGCTGGCACCGCAGACAGGTGCAACAGCCTTGCGCTCGGCGGAGGCTCCGTCCAAGCATGCTGCATATGTCATCTTGTGATGTAGTCATAGGTGGCCCTCACCCGGGCAAATATCGAAGCATCGTTTGAGCAGGCACTGTTTCGAACGTTGTTGAGGTCGCCTAAGTGGTGGTAAATGAATTAGGAGGGGGGAGGTGAGGCGGAGGAGGCGGAGGAGGAGGAGGGAAAAACTAGCGTGCATCAGCAATGCTGCAGTACACCCTCCCGTCTTGAGTCCCCTCCGCAACTTGGCGGCGAGCGAGGGGGGGGAAATGAGAAGGAGAAGGCCTTCTCAGAAGGCGGCGGGACTACTCAGAAGTCCTCGCGCCTTACGAGAAGTTCCTTGTGTTTTCGAGGAAGGCTTTAAACAACTCTCAGAACGCCGCCGGGGGACTTCTGAACCTTCTGGGCAGGCCTTTTCCTCCTCGCTTCGCCCACTCGCTCGCCGCCGGTCAAAAGGCCCCCGCATGCATTTATTCTGCCTGCGGGAGGTCCCCCCCCTTGAGAGGCGAGCGCCGCGCGGGCCTGCCGCTCGGATCCCAGAAGCCCGTGTTGAAAAGGCACTGCCCCGAGAGACCAGACGAGGAGGAGGAGAAGGAGGAGGAGGAGGGGAAGGGGGAGGGGGAGGGGGAGAGGAAGGGGGAGGGGAAGGGGGAGGATGTCAAAGAAGGTGCCCACCGAACGCCCTGTTTTGAACATGAGAGAGCCCTACAGCGGTGAACTGGCTGCACAGTGCTACGCGCTGTGTCGAACACAACTCCAGGAACTGATTATTATGCACCAGCCCGGTTTTGAAAAACGAGCCGTGCTCCGTCATGGCAAATGTCGCGCATACGTGCTAATAGTTCGAGACGGAAGCTTTGAGGATGTCTCAGGCCACAACCGGACTTTGACGAGGAACCACGCTCAATCCTTGCGCTTGTCGGAGCAGTTCAGAACAAGCGTACGCGGCGCTATGGCGAAAGCTACATCTTAGAAACTACTCGCTATCCATCATTGTGAGTATTGTTTTTCCGTGCAGAGGAATGCACGAGGGGTTGAGGCGACAACCACATGTTGGAAACGACCGCTCATCCGGAGGCGTGTAACTGTTGAGAGCGTCAAGTTTCGCAGCCATTCGTGGCGAAGAAGCCTCAGGCGAAAACGCTGGGAGAGCTCTTCCAGCACGCCTGGTGATGCGACGAAGAGAGACTAGTTGTGGCTGCCAGCGAGGGTCCAAAACAATCAGATATCTCGCTGTGTGTGGCGAGGCGCAGGCTATGGCTCTGCCGTGCTAGCCACGTGGCGCAGTGCCGTGCAGGCTGCGTAGTGCAAGAAACGCGATGCAACCCACAAGGTGCAAGCTAAGGTGTAAGCATTGGAGAAGGAACCACCGGATAAGGAACTCAGGGTCTGGCAGCCAGTGTAACTCCAATCGTGGATCGGCCATAGGAGGAGGAGGAGGAGGAGGAGGAGGAGGAGGAGGAGGAGGAGGAGGAGGAGGAGCAGGAGGAGGAGGAGGAGGAGGAGGGGGAGGAGCTATGTGGTGCAAGCGCCGTGCAGTCGATGTGATGTGGGCCGAGCGAGGGGCGACGAGGCGGCCTCGGGCGGCCACAACGGACGACGAAAAACACTGGAGAGCCCAGCACCAAAGCACGGGGGCGGCCTCGAGGCCACGACGGGCGGCCAACGGGGCGGAGGCGCCGCAGAGGATAGCCCTGTCCGCGCACGGGGCGGCCACGAGGCAGCGGCGGGCAGCGAGTGGACGACAGCCCCGCCAGGGAGCGGGGCGGACGCGAAGGCGGCAAATGGGGGCGGCCGCAGAGCGAGGCCCCAGGAGACGGGCCCGGGGAAAGGGATCGATACCCTCTCCTTGGTACGAAGCACTGTGGTGAGGAATCTCAGGGAGGATCGAGGGATATCCGGGAGGCGGAGACAGGAGCAGGAGGAGAGGGCGGAGGAGGGCGGCCCGGGCGCAAGACCTGGAGGGTGATCTAAGGGACTGAAGGGGACGAGGAGGACGAGGACGGGGAGGAGGAGGAGGAGGAGGAGGAGGAGGAGGAGGAGGAGGAGGAGGAGGAGGAGGACGAGGCGAACGAGGAGAAGCTGCAGACGGAGGGCGGAGGACCCAGAGGAGGGGGACCGAGGCGGCCGACGAGATGGGGAAGGGGAGGGCGGGCGGGCAGGAGGACGAGGCGGATGTTGTCTGCCGTGGCCTCCGCTGCTTCGGGCACCGCGGCCCTCGCAGGGCCGCCAGCCAGGCTGCTCACGCCGCCCGGCGCGACTTCACGACCAGCTTCTTCTTCTTGAAGGAGGTGTTGATCTTGGCGTACTTCGCCAGGGCGAGGTCGAGGAGATCCTCGGGAGCTTAAGAGGGAGGATGGAGGGAGGAGGAATGGGGGGGAGAGGGAGGAGCAGTGAGGGGGAGGGGGGGAGGGGGGCGGAGGTTTGGGGGGGGGTGAGGAGGGGAGAGCGTCGCTGGGGAGGAGCAGATGGGGTGGGCATGGCTGGCGAAAAGTCCCCTCCGCGGCCTCCAGAGCACCCGCCACGAGGCCCAGCGGGCTCCGGGGGCTCCAACACGGAGCGGAAAGCTTGGGACACCTGGGGCCAGGGACGCCTCTGGCAACACCCGTCCTCTGGGCTCCCGGATCTGGGCAGAATCAGCGCGTCCCCCCCAAGCTGGGGGAACCAGAACAGTATCAAAAACGCTTCGGTGAGGAGCACACCAGCGTGTTAGCACTCAGATCTCCGACAAAACGGAGGACGGGCTCACAGAGGCGGAGCGCCATTGTCTTTGAGCCCGTCTGATGATCAATCGCGATGGCGCCTGTGACTGGCTCCGCCCCCACCTCCGTCAAAATTTGCACTTGCGCCGTGTGGGAATGAGCCGCTCCTAGGCCAGCCCCCGACGGCGCCGGCGCGAATCGTGACGTGACCATCCCCCTCCCTCCTCACGCTCGCTATCGCAAGGAAATGGAAACACATGAACTTGCGGAGGTCCTCGGGGATTTCTCGAATCGGCGCTGGAACCCCCCAGCAGCGCCTCCAGCGTCGCCCCTGGCGCGCTCTGGGAGCCAGGGAGGTGGGTCCAGCGCGTATGCAAGAAATCCGCGCGGCCTCCGAAAGTTATGTTCATGTCAATATATGTTCCTCGATTTTTGCCTCCCGACAATCCTAGCCTCCCAAATGGGCTCAGAGTTGATGGGTGCGGGGGGTCACGCCGCATCGACAATGCATCGCCGATGCATCGGCTCTTACAAATCGACGCTATGGGACGCTAATCGACACTGAATCGACGCTAATCGACGCGAAATCGGCACTACACCTCATCGACTCCCAGACGACAATCGACGCCAACCGACGCTAAAGACAAAACGAAAAGGGTGATTATGCCAGGCCCCCATGATTGGCAACCGAACCCATCCGCTCAGACCCAATCTGGGATGCCTGGAGACGATCGGCGACCCCGGACCGCCCGCAGAGGCATCCTCCTCCTCCTCCTCCTCCTCCTCCTCCTCCTCCTCCGCCCCCTCCTCCTCCTATCCTCATCCCTCCTCCTCCTCCTTCTCCTCCTCGTCCTCCTCCTCCTCTTCCCCCCCTTCCTCCTCCTCCTCCGCCTCCTCCTCCTCCTCCTTCTCCTCCTCCTCCTCCTTCTCCTCCTCCTCCTCCGCCTCCTCCTCCTCCTTCTCCTCCTCCTCCTCCTCCTCCTCCTCCTCTTCCCTGTATCCGTCCGTATCCGCACTCCCGCGGCCTGGATGTCGGGGCGCGACCCCGCGAGCGCGCGGTCGCACGGACGCGTTTTGCGCCTGACCTCCGCGAGAAGGGGCCCAGTCGTATCCGGGGGGCCGCGGCCCAGGGGCCTGGCCAGCGGGGCCGCGGATACTATACGGAGATGTCTTTCCCACACCCACGGCTTCCCAAGTGGCGTCGGAGAACGCATCGCCGAGGCATCGGCGGCCGTCGGCGATGCATCGGCAACGCCGGCGTGACGAAAGTCGGGCTCCACATGGAGTTGCATCCCCGACGCGTCGGCGATGCGGCGCGGTCCACCGACCCCATCTACCGGGACCACATCTGGGAGGCCTGAGGCTATTGAGCACGATCAAGGGGCTAGTAAGCCAGACGAGGCCGGATGAAGCCGAGGCCCGAGCCGGAATCAGCCGGACGGGGTGGGACTCGGCGGAAGTACTCAAATGGAAGTCTGCCGGATTGGGCCGGTGTTCGACCACGGATATACCAGCGCCATTGCTCTCTGAACCGATCCTCCCAGGAATTACATCCTAACCTTGCGTCCATCCACTCCTACAACCCCGAGATCCGACGTTGCAAAAACCTACAGCGTCGCAGAAAAATCCCGACCGGACCCCCGCACCCGGTCTTTCTGCGTCATTTTTCGAGCCACATCGATCCGTGAGGGTCCAGGGCCCAAATTCGAGCGAAAATGCCCGGCTCGAAAACATGGAGACGCCAGGATCTCAGGGAACGTCCCAGGAGAATCAGGGCAGAAGTTTTGCGCCAGGTCGGCCTTCCGGAGGTCCCTGCGCCGCCGAGCTAACTCAGAACATACAAACAGGCATCCCCGGGGAAAGAACGAAAGGTCCAGGGGTCTTCAGAAAAGCGAACCGTCAGAGGCAACCTGGATAAGTCTTCAAAGCCGCCTCGATAGGGGGTAACTTGTTATTTTTCGGAGGCCTTGTTGAAGGACTGGGGTCCCACCAATAGGGAGTAATTCATTATGTCTGTCCCGCGGCACCCGTCGCGAAACAACGACGACGACAGCTACGATTAGGAGGCGGAGGAGGAAGAGGAGGACGAGGGGGAGCGGGGGGAGGAGAAAGAGGTTTTCGGACCAGTCCTTCTCACCGCCGAGTGAATAGGGGGGGTCAAAACTAAAGACTTCTAGAGGGTAGAAGGTACCACTGGTGCTGGACAGGACCAGCCTTTGTGAATAGACTCCCCCTGGGGCCTTGCGGTAGAAGCCCGCCCCCATGGCCTTCTCCAGCTGCGCCGCCCCCTTCTTGGGAGCCTTCTTGATGCCCTTCTCGAGGTACTGCGAGCTCGGCGACGCGGCCTTGGCCTCCTTCTTCTGGCGCGTCGTGAGGACGATGCTCTCCTTCTTGCCGTTCCTGGCGGAGGCCAGCCCCACCACCTGCCTGTTGGCCAGGCCGCTGAACTTGAAGGAGTGGAGCCCGCACAGGTTCCCCCGCTCCGCGGACATCGTCTTGTTTCCGGCTCCGGGGCTCTTCCTCAATAGGGGGCCAAAAAAACGACCTCGCTTTTGACCACCCTCTCCTCCAAGAGATACCAGGCGATGCCAAACTACGGCCTGTACTGGTCAGGCCGCTTGACGAGGAGGCGCGTGGTGTGACTTGGTTTTGCCTGGAAGCGAAGGCGGGGTGGGTCATTCACGCTCTTCCTCGAGCGCGGTCGGCTGGCGCCCCCCGGACCCCATGGCAGACGGGCGGGCGGTTCTGCTCCAGCTGCGGCGCTGCGGCTTCCGAGGAGCCCTGTGTTGAAGGGGCCCCAGGACACACAAATCAATACACACAAATACAAGATTTCCCATATTTTCCTATATTTTCAGAGGTTTTTGTCCTCCCCCCTACTTCCCATATTTTCCCACATTGTCTGGGGAATCGACGATTCATTGTGTCTGTGTGTTTTTGTCCCCTCCTGATTTTTCGATATCCAGGATAATCGAAAGTGGATCCGGGACGAAGCAGTGCCCCCAGGGAAAGGGTCGAGACCCCTGCGGGCCCACGAGCTGCCCACAGAGCATGGCATCACCAGGTGTCCGGGGGGCCAAAAGGGGGCACAGGTGAACAACGAAGCAGGCCCTCTGGTGAGGCGAAGTCCAGCCAGCGTGGCACACCGAGAGCGGGCTCGAGTTGGACTTTGGATGGAGGGCCTGCTCGGTTGCTCCCCGGGCCCCCCCTGGGCCCCCAGCTGGGCCCCAAGGAGGGGGCCAGACGATCGCGGCCCGTCCTCATGAAGGAGTTGTTGGCCTTGATGCACTCCCAGACCAGCTCGGGTGAGGCCGTCATATCGTGAGCCCGGACGCACGAGGACGAACGATGCACTGGAGACTGCCTCACGGGGCGTGGCAAAGAAACCGTTCGGGCCACAAAATATGGCTACGGAGGGATGACTCTGAGCTGCGACGCCTTGGTGTTCCGACGACGCGGGCCACGGAGATGTCGACCCTATCTCCAGGACCGATATTCGTGTAATTTTCGGGTTGAGGAGCTGCCCGAAAATGCCCGAAGTACAAAGAAACCAGTCTTAGTTCTTGGTTGGTATTCGCTTGTCGCGTCGACGAAGGTCGGGGTCCTCTCAACGAGGATCCTGTCACAATCTGCCCCTGGACCCTCCCACGGTACAACCCCTGCTCGATTTCCGAGCCGCGCCCGCTCATGGTGAGGAAAAGCGTAAATCCATTCATCCACCTAGCCCCCGAAAACCCACGGTCGACACCGGAGATCGGTGCGTGTGCTGCCACCAGAAACAAGCCAAAAGGCCGTCGCATACCAGGCCAAAAGGCTGTGCGTCTGTCTAATATGAAGGGGCCCTGGGACACACAAACAAATAAACACAATTACCCCAGTGCGACCCTACCTAGAAGTTGGAGCCCTAGGAAAGCAGCATTAGTTGCTATACTCTGATATGCTATGCTATGATATGCTATGCCATGCTATGCTGCGCTATGCTATGCTATGCTATGCTATGCTATGTTATGCTGCGCTATGCTATGATATGCTATGATCGGCTATGCTATGCTATGCTGCGCTGTGCTATGCTGTGCTGTGCCATGCTGCGCTATGCTATGCTATGCTATGCTATGCTGCGCTATGCTGTGCTATGCTGGGCTATGCTATGGTATGCTACGCTAAGCTAAGATGAAATAAGCTAAGCTAAGATGAGATAAGCAACGCTAAGCTCAGGGGACGTAACTGGGGGAACCGCGGGGCGGATACTGGGGGAACCGCCCGGGCCGGTTCCCACTGCCCGGCCTTTTAAGCCAAGAGAGTAAGAACCCTTCTAGGCAGAGCCTAGGTAGGAAATTATCGGGCAATCTGTCGGCGCTGCGGCCATCCGTGTCAAGAATAAACCTGAGCTAAGATGAAGCTAAGCTAAGCTAAGATGAAATAAGCTAAGCTAAGATGAGATAAGCAAAGCTAAGCTATGGGAACGTAACTGGGGGAACCGCGGGGCGGATACTGGGGGAACCGCCCGGGGCGCTTTCCACTGCGCGGCCCCTTTGAGCCCAGAGAGTAAGAACCCTTCAAGGCAGAGCCTAGGTACGGAAAGCATCCCAGTGCGACCCTACCTAGAAGTTAGAGCCCCTAGGAAAGCAGCATTAGTAGTAATAGTGAAGCTAAGCTAAAGCTAAGCCAAAACTAAGCCAAAGCTAAGCTAAAGCTAAGCTAAAGCTAAGCTAAAGCTAAGCTAAAGCTAAACTAAAGCTAAGCTAAAGCTAAGCTAAAGTTCAGCTAAGGTAAAGCTAAGCTAAATCTAAGCTAAAGCTAAGGTAAAGCTAAGCTAAAGCTAAGCTAAAGCTAAGGTAAAGCTAAGCTAAAGCTAATCTAAGCTAAGCTAAGCTAAGATGAAATAAGCTAAGCTAAGATGAGATAAGCAAAGCTAAGCTATGGGAACGTAACTGGGGGAACCGCGGGGCGGATACTGGGGGAAACGCCCGGGGCGCTTTCCACTGCGCGGCCCCTTTGAGCCCAAAGAGTAAGAACCCTTCAAGGCAGAGCCTAGGTACGGAAAGTATCCCAGTGCGACCCTACCTAGAAGTTAGAGCCCCGAGGAAAGCAGCATTAGTAGTAATAGTAAAGCTAAGCTAAAGATAAGCCAAAACTAAGCCAAAGCTAAGCTAAAGCTAAGCTAAAGCTAAGCTAAAGCTAAGCTAAAGCTAAGCTAAAGCTAAGCTAAAGCTAAGCTAAAGCTAAGCTAAAGTTCAGCTAAGGTGAAGCTAAGCTAAAGCTAAGCTAAAGCTAAGCTAAAGCTAAGCTAAAGCTAATCTAAGCTAAGCTGAGCTAAGTTAAGCTAGGCTAAGCTAAAATGAGATAAGCAAAGCTAAGGGGGCGCAACTGGGGGAACCGCCCGGGGCGCTTTCCACTGCCGGGCCCTTTAAGCCAAGAGAGTGAGAACCCTTCTAGGCAGAACCTAGGTCGGGAATAACAGGATTCCCCATACTTTCCCCTATTTTCCGGGTTTTTGTCTTCACCCCCAATTCCCATATTTTCCCATATTTTCCTGGGAGTCGACGATTAATTGTGTCTGTGTGTTTTTCCCCTCCTGACAATAGGCCGTCGCAAAAAGCGAGCCCTGCCCCCAGGTTCAAATTGACTTGACCCGCGAATCTTGCAAACAACCCCTCCCAACCTGGCAAACTCCTAACCTAACCTGACCTAGCCTGTGTCGACTATGCGCCACAGCTAACCTGAACAAGTAAAGTTAACGTGACCAACGGCTCGGCGAAACCAGTGTCACGCGCGCGCGCGCGCTGGAGCACATGATTCGCCAGTGTGGAGCAACACGCCAGGATGAAATGCAAAAAGTGCCGACTGTATCACTGACCCCACCGGGGCTCCAATGAAGAATCTTGACAGCGCTGAGGCGAGAGCAACACTCGCAATCGTGGATGTGGCCGGCGCTGAAGCGAGATCACACGTCGTACTCGTGAATCTGGCTGGCAATGTGGCAAGACTGACGTTCACAGTCGTGGATGTAGCTGGCGCGAAAACAACACTCGCAATTCTGGAAGTGGCCAGCCTTGAAGCGAGAGCAACACTCGCAATCGTGGATGTGGCCAGCGTTGAGGCGAGAGCACCCGTCGCAATCATGTCTACGGCCAGCGCGGAAGCCAAAGTACCCGTCGTAGTCGTGGATATGGCTGGCAATGCGCCGAGAATGACGTTCGCAATCACGGATGCGGCCTGCGCTGACGCGATAACCCGCAATCGTTGATGTGGCCGGCGCTGAAGCGAGAAGAAAATATCGCAATCAAGGATGTGGCCAGAGCTGAGGCCAAAACAACATTCGCAAGAATGGATGTGGCCGGCGCCGAAACGAGAGCTCCCGTCGCAATCGTGAACGAAATGTCCCATTGCACTTGCACGCCGGCTCTAGCGCGACAACCAACACCACCGAGACGAACACTACCAGAACCAGCAGCGCCATGCGCCATGCGCATCAGCAGCAGCCTGCGTTGCTGATTTGTCACATTCCGCTCTTGACTTCTCAGCCAAGCCCTGATGCACATGCGCCACCAAGTGACGCCCTTGGACTGGAAGGGGGCGGGGCAGTGGCCGGCGAAGGGGGGTTGCTCCCGTGCTCAAGCGCAAAGCGTCACGGCCCAGATATGTCGATTTTGCGCTGGACACCGGGCGCCCCAGGGAGCAGCCCACAGCCTGTCCCAAAAGCGCCCGGTGCGAACCCCATCGCGCCGCAGCTCTGGCGCCCTGGCGGAGAAGCGCACGACGACCCGCAATGCGTCAGTCGTGCAGCAGCCGCACGTGCGAAACGAGCCGGTCCACCGACCAGGCCGACAGAAGGCAGCATCACCAGCAGCAGCAGCAGCACCGCCAGTGCCATCAGCAGCACAACTGCGAGTAGCAAGAAGAAGACTAACACCATGACGCGCAGCACCAGCACCACCAGCAACACCAGCACAACCAGCAGCAGTACCACTGCTCCGAGTACTGCCAGAAGCAGAATCAGCACACGCAGCAGCATCAGCGCCGTCAGCAGCAGCAGTATCAACAGCAATAGTGCGAGCCGCAGAAGCGCCACCAGTAGTACCTCCGTGACCAACACGAAAGCAAATAGCAGCACCACGCGCATCAACACAAGCGTCACCAACCAGCACGACGGAAAGCAGCAACACGACACGCAGGAACACCAGTGCAACCAGCAGAACCACGTTGACCACGACAACGGGAGCCAGTACCGTCACACGCGTCAGCTTTACCGAAACGAGCAGAACCACTGTGTCGAAGACTGCTGCAGCATCGACACCACCACCAACAGTAGTTCGAGCAGCAAAAGCGACACCTGTAGCTCTGCGGTCAGCACGGCAGCAAACAGTGCAACCATGCACACTACTAGCGGCACTAGCAGCACCAGTATGACGACCGCGATGGGGATCAGGAGCACCATGAGACGCATCAGTAACGCCACCAGTAGCACCACTGTAACGAGCACGACAGCAAGCAGCGGCACCAAGCGCAGCAGCAACGGAAGCAGCACCAGCGCCACCAGCAGCGGCAGTGTGACCTGCACGGCAGGAAGCAGCAGCGCTGCGCGCAGCAGCGCAAGCGCAACGAGCAGCACCACTGTGTCGACCAGCAGCGATGCGCACAGCACCTGCTCCACCAGAGACATCACTGTGACCGACACGGCTGGAGCAGCAGCACCGCGCGAGGCAACGCCGTCGCTGCCGACAGCTTCGCTACATAGACAGAGCACGACGGGCACCAGCAGCGCCAGGCGATTCGCGCTGGACTGCGCGAGCGCCCCCACTCCCCCGCTGACCACACCAGCGGGGGAGGCGGCGAGCCCGAACTCCAGCGCAGAGCGGCACGGCACAGATCGCTCGATTGTGCGCTGGACACCGGGGGCGCCCCAGAGCAGAGCTGCGCAGCCCGTCCGCCGGAAAGCTGGCCAGGGGCCGGGGCGAGCCCCGGCCCTGGGAGCAGCTGCTGCTCGGCTCGAAGCTGAGGGACGGTCGCTCCCAGCGGGAGGGGTTGCGCCAACCGGAGCTTACAGTAGCAGCGCTATACCCCCGAGAGCGCCAGGGCCAGCGCGCATGGTGGCTCGGTGTGGGTCCGCCGTCGACGCCCGCCGCCTGCCTTCGCCCGCCGTCGACGTCCGCCGCCCGCCGTGCCCCGCCAGCAGCGGCGTTTCATCTGGACGGCAGCGGCCCCGCACTCCGACCGCCGTCGTCAACGGGGCGCCTGGCGGCCGCCGCACTGACCGCGTCGCCACTGCCCGCTGCGGCGACTGCGGACCGCCACGCGTCGGGAGTGCAGCAAGAGCAGCGCGAGCGCAACAAGCAATTCCACTGTGACCAACACGACAGAATACATCAGCACCACTCGAAGCAGCACCAGCGCAACCAGTACTTCCTCCGTGAGTAGTGCGACAGAGACGAGCACCACTACGCGCAGCAGCACCAACGCCACCAGCAGCAACAGGAAGCACCAACAGCACCACAAGCGCCACTAGCAGCACTAGAGCCACTGGTAGCACCTCTGTGACCACCACGACAGCACCACGCACACCAGCACTAGCGCAACTAGCAGCACCAGCGTGACCAGCACAACGGTAAGCAGCAGCAAGCGTAACCAGCAGTACCACGGACCAGCACGACGGGACCACCAAACGCAGCAGCACGAACGCCACCAGCAGCACCAGTGTGACGAGCAGGACGGGGTACAGCAACACTACGCGCCCAAGCACAAACGCAACGAGAAGTACTTGTGTGACGAGCATCACCAGGTGCAGCAGACCTACCCGAAGCAGCAGCACCAACACCTCCAGTGGCACCAGTGTGGCCAGCACGAAGGGAAGCCGCAGCACAACGAGTAGTACTACCAGCGCCACCAGCAGCACCACTGCGACAAGCCCGACGGGAAACAGCAGCACTGCGCGTACCAGCACAAGCGCAACGATGATTAGAAGTGTGAGGAGCGCATCAGTGGAAGCAGTTCTACTGTGACCAGCGCGACGGAAAGCAGCAGCACCATGCGCAGCACTGCGAGCGGCACCAGCACAGCGTGCACTACTATAACCAGTACCACAACGTGAAGAAGCCCGAGCGGTAGCTTTGTCACCAAACAGGCCGCGGATGGGGCCGCGATCTGGAAGCTTGCTCAGCCAACTGGCTTCTGAGGCTGCGTCTTCCCCTGTGGCGAGAACAGTGTTCGCAATCAAGATGTGGCCGGCGCCCTAGCGATTGCACAATCCATTATCAAGGTGGGAACGGCATTCTCAATCAAGGGTGGTGCCGGCGCCGAAGCGGCAGAGCCGATGACTACATTTGCTATTATGTTATCGACTGGCACTTGGCGAGAGCAGCAATCCGAATCGAGACCGTGGCCCGCGCTGAGGCGAGACCAACAATCGCAATCCTGCGAGCGGCCAGCGCCTGGGCGAAAGCGCAATTCTCACTCAGAGATGTGGCCGGCGCCATAGCGAGAACGACATGCTTAATGGAGGATGCGGCTGGCGTCCGGGCCACAACAATACTTTTCATCAGAGATCTGGCCAATGATAAAAGCAAGAACGACATGCTCCATGAAGGATGTCGCCGGCGCCCAGGCGACAGCATCCCTTTCAATCAAAAGTGTGGCCGGCGCCAAGGCGAGAACGACATGCTCAAGAAAGGATGTCGCCGGTGCCAAGGCCCCAGCGACACTTCCCCTTAGAAGTGTCGCCGGCGACAGGGCCACAGCAAACTTTTCATCAGACAGGTGGCTGGCACACGGGCGAGAAGGACATGTTCAACGAAGGATGCCGCCGGCGCCTAGGCGACAATGACATCTTCAATCAGAGATGTGGCCCGCGCCATGCTCAAGGAATGATGCCGCCGCCGCGAAGGCCACAGCAACATTCTCGATGAGACATGTGGCCCGCGCACATGAAGGACGTCGCTGGCGTCCGAGCAGCAACAACATGTTCGATCAGAGACGTCGCCCGCGCAAAGGCTGGAGCGCCATTGCGAGGCAAGCGCGTCACCAGAGTGCAGGTGGCACGCCCATTCCGCGCGGGCTGGGCTCGGCAGGTCTGGGTGACGTGGGTGCGTAATCCACGTCAGGGGGGGTCTGTAGCCATCGGGGTTATCCGAATGCAACTTAGGTCGGGCATGTCCTCCTACAGGCGGATTTTGGAAGAACCAGTAAGACAGAAAATCAGAAAGAGCCAAGAGAGCACGAAACATCGTAACCAGACTATTGTTTATCTCTTCTCGAACATTCCTCCTGTAGAGGGACATGCCCGACACAACGATAGGGGGGGGGTTGTAGCCATCAGGGCTCTCCAAACGTAACCTCTGCAGGGCTCCCAAAGATCCACGGGGGTGGGGGCGGCGGCACGGAGGAGGCAGCAGGACCGAAGGAGGCTCTGGCGGAAAGGGGGCGGCGGCAGATGGGAACATGGAAGGCCGAGGGGGGCCCTCCACCATCCCCAGAAGGCCCGACCACAAGAAACCGTCCACAAGAAGCCCCACCCTGAGACCCAGGACGTCCATTGATTTTTTGGTATGGGAACGTCACGCCTTCCACAGCAACACTGTGGAAACCCAAGAAACCCAGGGAACCCTGGAGGCAAGCAGGGTGTTTCTTGGCATGGGCCTCCACTGTAACCCCGACACGTGCCTTTCGGCAATCTCGGCGTCCCGAGCAGGTCGCTGTGGGGCCCTGGGGCCACCGCAAGAAGTGATCCGAGAGGAGGAGCCGATCCTGGGGATCTGGTGGAAAACCGTGGTGCCCACGTCGTGAACAAATCACGCACATCGGCACATCAGGGAGAATTGGAAGAAAGAGGCGGGGAAGGATTGGGAGGAGGGGGAGAGGAGGGTGACAAGGAGGAGGAGAGGAGGGATGAGGAGGACAAGAGGAAGCGGGAGGAGGAGGGGAGGAGGGGAGGAGGAGGGACGAGGAGGAGCGCCGGGGGCCCGGAACCCCCTTCGCCACCGTCTGCGAGCTCGCCCCTCTCGCCCTTTTTTCGTTCACTGATCTCTCCCACCTCTCCCTCCCGTTCCGCTCATCCCCCAGCCCGCCTCGTCTCCCCCTTCTCCCCATGATGCGCCCACATCCCAGGCACTGCGCCTGCCCTGCCCCTTCCATTCGCCGTCCCCTCTCCCCTCTTCCTATCCGCGCCCCTCCGGCAGAGAGTGAGAGGGAAGGGGGCGAGGGAGAGGTGGAGAAAGAGGGAGAAGAGGATGACAAGGAGGGGCGAGGGATGAGGAGGGGGAGCAGTGAGGGCGAGGGGAACGCATGACAGGGAAGGAGGGCGAGGAGAACAATTGGGGGAGGAGACGAGAGGAGGACAATGAAGACAGAGAGAAGGAGGGCGATATCGCACTCCTTATCTTCATCGTCATCGCAGGCGAGGTTGAATCGTTTTTCGTCCACCCCATCACCTGCCTCCCCGCCGCCCTCCGCGCTCACCATCACCCGCCTCCGCTCCTCGAAGGGCGGGGGGACGACAAGGGGGGGTACGTGCCCAGGCATGAAACATCACATGGAATATGCAAAGCATCGCCGACACGGTGGGGGTATTGGACAAGGAACCCTTCGATAAAGAATCCAGGGTCTGGAAGCTGGTGGATCGGCCATGGATATCACCACCACCCTCATCAGATGAGGAACCCTCCAGGGTCTGCAGCCTCCTGGGCATCCTCCGTAACGAACGCCTCCACCGTAGAGGCCACCGGTAGCGAAAACCGAGAGGTTCTGGATCATCGGGGTGGGACACCCGAGCTCCGATCGGCCACGTCTGGGCAACTGGGGAAGACACCGTCCCGCAGCCAAGTCCCCCTCTCGCGCCCCCTCATCCTCGCCCTACCCCCGCCCCTCAGAGCTCTGTCCCTGCTGCTGACGAAACATCGGGGCAGTCCGTCTCTGGCCGTTGCGCCGGCGGGCGGCCAGTGTCGGGGCCCTGGGACGGCTGCAGATACGGCGTGGAGGGGAACCAAAACACTGCTCTGGCGGCAGGGCCGTCAGCCGTGGGGGAAACGGACTCACGAACGCCAAACGTCGGAGGACTGGACCCACACCCCTCGCCACCCCACACGCTCCCGCTGCCCGCCTCCCCTGCTTCCCCGCCGCTCCCCCTTCCTCATCCACGAGAAGGAGGTCGACGAGGAAGGCGACGATGATAAAATCGCCGTCGTCGCCGCCGCCGCAGGCGTCCTCGTCGTCCGTCTCCATGGTCGCCGCCACCCCTCTCCCCAGAGCTCCGACGTCAATTTTTCTTACCACGACGCGGGCCCCTACGTAGTCCCTAGTCCTCTCGACCCTATCCCAAAGGCTGGCTCCTCGCTGCTCATCGCTCTGCCATGGCCCCCGGGGGCCTGACGACGGCCCAGGATCTAAAAACTATGGCGAAAAGTCGGCCGCCACGATTTGTTTGCGGTCGTTTTTCCTTCAGCTTCTGGCGGCAAGTTTGCTTGCATGGAGGGGTGGGGGGTGCGGATAGGGGAGGGGGCTTTGCGAGGCCAGAAAGGACATCTTGACTTCAAGTAAATCGGGACTCACCTTCATGCCTTGTCGGCCCAGCGATGTGTGAAGAAGCGGCCGAGGGTGGGGATGCCATGCACGCGCTCCTATGGGGCAAGGCCAACCGTCAAGAATTCCTTCGCGGCTTTGGGATACCAGGACCTCTTCCAGGCGAACCGCTCCAGGACCGAGTCCTGGCCAGGATCTCGAAGCGCATCAAGCTATAGCTACGGAGGCGCCCTGGTGGGAGTTCCAGAAGACACGAGACAAAACAGAAACCTCGACCAACGATCGTCGATCCTCGATACTTCTCCCCCGTCTGGGTCGTCGTCCTCGCCTGTCACCTGCGGTCCCCTGGATCCTCGGCGCCCTCGCCCTTGTCTTCGCCCTCGCCGTCGTCGTCGTCGTCCTCCTCGCCGCCGCCCTCGTCGTGCTCGTCGTCCTCATCGCCGTCATCCTCGTCACCCTCGCCGTCCTCGGTCGTCGCCTTCGTCGTCGTCGTGGTCGTCGTCGCTGCCGTCGTCGCTGCCGCCGTCGTCGGCCGTGGCCGTCGGGGCACCGGCCCGGCCCCTCTCCGAGACGGGGGCGCTGGGGACGCCGGGCCGTGGCGGTCCTGCGGGTGCGCCCGGCGCGGCCTTGGGGAAGCCTGCGGGCTGGTCCGCGCCGCCGCAGCTGCTCCTGAGGCGGTCCTCCTCTCCGCGCCAGTGCTCCCCGTGAGGCCTCCGTCCCTCTCCTCGTCATCCTCCGCCTCGTGGTCATCGTCACTTGCGCCTCCCTCCACGTCCGCCCCTCTTGCGACACTTCCTCCTCCTCCTCCTCCTTCTCCTCCTCCTCCTCCTCCTCATACTCCCCCTCGCTACCTGTACGACCACCCTTCGGGTGATAAGGAGGTTCGGGGGGGGAGGAACCAACGTCTCACTCGATCGGTCCCACTATCGATCTCACGATCGACCTCACTATCGGTCTCGCTTGATCGATCTATCCCGATCGATCTCACAACCGATCTCACTCGATCTATTGCATCCGTTCGATATCACAATCGACCTGGCTATCGATCTCACAATCGAAGCCACTATCGATCTCACTATCGATCTCACTATCGATCTCACATTCGGTCCCACTATCGATCTGACTATCGATACAACAATCTATCTCACAATTAACGTTTTCATCGTCTTCATCATCACCATCATCGTCATCAACGTCATCGACATCATCATCACCACCATCATCATCGGGACACCATCATCATCATCATCACCTCATCACCATCATCATCAACATCATCATCACCACCATCATCATCATCGGGACACCATCATCGTCACCATCATCATCAACATCATCATCTAATCGGGACACCACAACCATCATCAGCATCGGAACACCACCAGCATCATCACCATCATCCCAGCATCATCCTGAAAAAACATCATCAACATCATCACCGGGACACCATCATCATCAGCAGCATCATCATCAACATCATCATCACCGGGACACCATCATCATCGTCACCATCATCATCACCACCATCATCATGAACATCAGCATCACCATCATCGGGCCACCATTATCAAAATCAGCATCATCGCCTCGTCTTCATCCTCATCATCAACATCATCATCATCATCGGGACACCATCATCGTCATCACCATCATCATCAACATCATCATCATCACCATCGAGACACCATCACCATCACCATCATCAGCAGCCTCAGCATCAACCTCATCATCACCAGCATCATGGGGACACCATCATCAAAGTCTTCATCATCATCACCATCATCATCACCTCATCATATCAGCATCATCAACATCATCATGATCATCAACATCATCATCATCATCATCATCATCATCATCCTCATCCTCATCCTCATCATCATCATCATCATCATCATCATCATCATCATCATCATCATCATCGGGAACCATCATCATCATCAGCAGCGCCATCAGCATCATCAACATCATCATAATCGGGACACCAGCATCATCATCACCGCCATGGCCA